AGATAATCAACAAGTATCATATTTTTCTTGTAAAAAAAAAAAAAGATAACACAATAAGAATTTCTTATCAAAAAAATACAAGGTATTTCTTAATACAACCTAGGAATAAATGGTCTAATTATATTTTTTATTTTTATAACATGATGGTCTTTAACATAAATTTAATAATATTAATTTAAAGATAGGATTCATACAATGAGGCCATTTGAAATCTCTCTCTTTCTTCTAACAATCTCTTCCACTAATTTATTCTAGAAACCTAAAAAATTAAAGAAAATACGCATTCTAATAATTTATACAATGATAACCAAATCTTTTATTTTATTTATTAATTTTTGTATTATAAATCTTGTAGTGTACTATTTTTCTTACAGTTGTCAATAATACATTTTAAATTAGATGATATTATAAAATATTTTGGATTTATTATTATGTATATAATAAAATAATTGTAAAATATTGTTGGTATATAATATTATAGTTAGTTAGGTTGTAAAAATTTGGGTTTTTTTAGCGGATTAGGGTTTTCCGCGAGATTTTAGTGGCCAATTTTTCATCGATTTAGTCAACTCTTTATTTTAGTCCATATATGATTATATATTTAATCGATGATAATTCTATGATTTCTTTTGTGTGATGTAAATTTAATGGTCAACATAAGTTCATACAGGGAAAGAACATCTCAATATTCATAAATTGATGAAAACAATGAAAGTTAATAATGTAGTACCCCCATTTTTTATTGCATTCCTAAAAAAAAACATTTATAATGAATTTTAATAATTTTTTTAGATTTTTTTAAGGCTTAATCCAAGCGATTAGGCCCGATTCCCGATCCAGATCGTCGATTCGCCGATCCGGATTGGTTTTTGGGATTCCCGATCCTGATGACCGATCCGTTTTTTAAACATGTACATATGACTTTCGCATTTTAAGAAGCAACCTTGTATAGAGTGACACACGTACATATGCATAGAGAGCCCCCTTACACTGTACTCTTTCTTGACTTTCTCTTAAGGGGAGAACCTGTAATCTACACACTAGGACTATGTTTCCGCTTTTTATTGGCCAGCTTTCACGGGCCAGTCATGAGCCCCTGCACTTTACTGTGGGTCATGGGTCTTGTTGGGTTTGTTTGACATGACAGTAGTGGATCATGGATCTTGGCACAGGGTGCTGACATTCACTTGTTGTTTACCTATTAGTTTCCTATCCACTTCTAAGTTATATTTCTGTATGTTTTAGATTTTTTGTGGAACTCTAGAAATATTGTTTTCAACTAAATTTTTGTTACGATGTTTTTGGTTTTTTTTTTCAGAATTTTAAAACTAATTTTCAATGTATAAAAACCCCTAAAGGGTAAGGGCCTAAGGGGGCTAAGGGCTGAGCCTTCCCATGTGTGGGGCCCACAAGGGTGGTACATGTGGGATCCACAAGGGTAGGATATGTGGGACCCTCATGGGCCACACCCCTTACATATGTCATTATCTTATTTTGAAAAATATTTGTTATTTTAGTTGAAAATATGTTTTGAAAAATTTTGTGGAAGATTTAAGGGGATCAAAATTTTATATCCTAATTATCCCTATGTGAAAGAATAAGAAATTCAGAATATTCTGGATTATTCTCGAATGTCCTAGAAGATAAGATTATAAGGAAACAAAATCTAGAGTAGTTAGAAGTGGATATAAGTCACATATCAGGAGATAAGGTTCCTAATATATACTCTAGATCATGATGGCTGATCTTGGAGATGAATGACTCTGATTAATTCAAATTTCAAAAAAAAAATGGCTCTGATAAATTGTTTTTCTTACTCCACAAATTTCCTAAATATTTGGGATATTGCTGAATCCTAATTGAACTGGGATTCCTAGGCCCCGTTGAGGCCTAAAATAGGAGGTGGACCTCCTCATTCTCTGCACATCTCTTACATCTCTCTCTTCATTGTCCCTTTATTCTCTCTAATCTTTCTCTCTCCTCTTTCAAATAGGTGGGACACCACCCTCCATAAGAGTTGGAGTGGCATGCACCTTTAAGAGGGGTTAGAAAGGGGGGGAATGCCGAACCCTAATTTTTTAGATTGAGGGGAGGTGCCAATTGTGGCAGCCCTAATGTCAAAAAGGGTTCTTTATGAAACCCTAATTGCGACCCATGCTCTTAGCTCCATAGTTTCAGTTAAGGGTGTTCCAGAGGTGCTTCCCTAGATTTAGATATGAGGTTTTAGCAGTGTTCGGAATCAGGTTCGTAATTGGTCAGGCGATGGGGTGTGGGGTTTGCTAGGTCTTAAGGGGTTAACCTTAGGTAAGTCTTCCCTCAGTTATTCAATTTTATTTCCTACAGTTTTTATCTTATTTTATTTCCTAAAATTGTTAGTTTGTAGTCAATTTGGATAAAATTTATTTTGGCAGTAAGTTATTAAGATAGTAAATAATAGGCCTATTTTATTGTATTTGTGGTATCTGTAAGTAGAATTTCCAACAACTAATAAAAGAAAAGAGAGAAATTTTTGAATTTGTAGCCTGGAGTTCTACATAGCCATTTCTTTTACTTGGAATCTATAGCTACTTATGGACTATGGCACTTATATGCCTTGACCAGGTTTAATAGGCGAATCATGAGCCTCTTGCATGGGAGTACATGTGAGTCATGGGTTTTTTTGGGTTGATTTGAGGACTTGATGAGGTCGTAGGGTAGTCATGTGAGTTCTTGGTAGAGTGTTAGTTTTATTGCTTGCACAATCTTCCAAGTTTTTTTCTGGAAGTGATTTTTCAAGGGGCTTTAAGGAGTATGAAAGTGATTTTATTTACGGAATAATCAGTTTTTGATACAAGCACTATTTTTGAATCAATTGTTTTGTGTTCTTGGACACGAACACATGAAAAGCAATGCCCATGAGGACCACAGTTTGTCCCATGTAAAAGCTCCAAGGAGGCACACAACTTTTTAAGGAGGACCGTATAGTTTTAAAGGGAGGCACTGTAAACATCCAAGGAATGGGCCACACCCTTATTTTACGTGATGCACATATATTCCACTTGTAAGGGGGCCTGGCACGCTTTCCATGAGGATGCATGTAAAAAAGAGGTGGGCCTTGTAGAGCGTGTGAACCCTAATAGAATTCTAATGGAAACCTAATTCTAAATAGTTGAAAGGTAAATAATCAATTTTTATGTAAAATAATTTGAAAAAGCCCCAATTGAATTACATTTGAATTTTGAAGGTTCATAGTTATATTAAAATTTAATAATTAGAATTGGGAATTCTCATAGAAGCTTACGAAAGAATTGAAACACAATTAGAAGATTGATGGAACTAGGAATCGTCCTATGGATAAGGCACATTACCTATCCTTGATTCATGATGGCTGGGGTTGCTGGGCAAGGGATGGATGGTTGAGATCAGCTCTCCAACATCATCAATCTCTCAATAGAACTAGGTAAGGCAATATTCCCCTTACCTTTCTAGAGCTCTATAAGAAAGGATCCCCAACCTCTATTTGGACAATTTTAATTTTTATTGGAGTTCACATGAGAAAACTTAGGAGTTCACATGGGAGTAAGGGACAGCAACGTGACGATTTTGAATAAGAAAAGAGTGGTAGGTGTTTGAAAGGATGGGTTCGGTTGGAGGAAACCAAGAGAATAAGAGGAACCGTGTTGAGGTAAGCTTAATTTGGTTCCCTTATTTTTAAACATGTTTTAGAGGACATTAAAGTAGAGAGAAGAATTACACTGAAAGCCTGCAACTCCAAGCTAGTTCTTCACCTGTAATAGTAAGTTTTGGCATTTTTTATGATGGAAGTTGGGTTTGTGAGAGTTTTTTGGGTTTGTGAGAGTTTGGAAGAATGACAGGAGTAGCATTATGCATAAATTAGTGTTAGGCTTTTGTGTGATTTCATTTCTTGTATGGACGATCTAAGGAGAGCGGAAGAAACCCTGCAACCTGAAACTCCTGAGGTCTGTAAGTCACCTAAAATAGAGAGAGTTGGTGGAGTAGTTTGCTGGTTGGTGTGCCATCAATCCAGGGAGATGACATGGGGTGTTTGAAGCCCTAGAAGGTGACCCTGGGAAAATTCTGGTTTGCTGAATTCTCTGCAGATGCCTACTTAGGGATGTGTCTGGAACTGTGGTTTTCTTATTTGGTTTTGAGTCTCGTTTCTTCCTGTAAAATTTAGAGTTGGCACTTATGAGACCAGGAAGTACAGAGGTATTAAGTACAGGTTTGGCTCTGTATCCCCTAGGTCACACTTCTCACAATACACAGACATACACAACCCCCACACACACTACGATAGTTTAGTTAGTGATTATAGTCATCTTTATAATCGACAATTCATCTTCAATCACATATCAATTATAAAAAGAAAAGGACACGGTTTCTATGAGTCCATGTAGAAATGAGTTACATCTTAAAAATCTATTTTGAAACCTTGTTCCTGGAGCGTGAGGGTCCCCTAGGGAATGTGCTCTCGTAACCATGGCTGGGCAGTAAACTGCCAAGTTTTGAAACCTGGCTGACCTACTCAAGCAAACGTGTTCTTTGCATAGGCTTCCTCGAGTGTCATCCATTATGGTGACAGAAATTTGGACTTCCCCAAGTGTCATCCATTATGGTGACAGAAATTCGGTCTTCCCCAAGTGTCATCCATTATGGTGACAGAAATTCGGACTACTTTCTAGTAGATATAAATGACAAATTGCGGTTGACAACTACTAACCTTACCCTATTACTCTGTAACTTTGTGAAAGTTATTCAGTGGATCTTTTTGTATTTATTGTTAGTCACATATTTGCTCAACGAATTGCCATCATTTAACTTTGGTTGAATTGAACTTACACTGGTTTCCCCTCTGAATTTATCTTTAGTTTGATGAAGCACCCCTAATGAGTTATTTATGAGAAAATGCTGTCAATGGCACATTCTTTCAGTACATTTTTGACTGCATGTATGGTTACGTGGAATTAAATGTAATTCATCATGCTCTTAGTTTTGATTAGGACCTTGCTGCATGTATACAAAGAGGAAGTCTAGACTGGGAAAGAGCCATCCGTTGCCTGAAGCATGCTCTTAATACAACTCCTTCTCCAGATTGGTGGCGGCGAGTGCTTGTTACTGCTCCTTGTTACAGGCAACAAGCTCAACAGCAAGTTTCAGTTCCTGGAATTGTATTTTCTTCAGAAATGCTATGTGAGGTGATCATTGATAGGATTATGGATCTTTTGAAGTCTTCCAACTCAGGCAAGTGCTTAACCTTTCTTCCTAGTTGTTGCTTGCTGCTACCTTTTTCATGGATATCGTATCCTAAAGATTGTTCCCCACATTTGTTCTTTAAAAGTTGGTGGGGGTGTGTGTGTGTACTCTGCATGCATGACTTTTATGTGCAATACCGTGCTGGAATATGTCTTGAGAATATTCTAGTGAACAGATCTAATTTGATGAAGAAATACTGCAGTTTTGAGATGCTAAAGAGTTTCACTGGAAAGGAAAGCAGAAAAGAACAATTTTTTTTTTTTAATATTTTTATTTGTATTATTATTTTTTTATATTTTTATTTGTATTATTATTATTATTTTTAAGCAGGGTCTTGAATGGAGCTTATAACTTTAATGTGACAGATGCAGTTTGAAGGGACCAATACAAAACATGTGACTTGTTCGTTCAGTCAAATAAATTGTTCCACTACAAGTATTCAGTCAAATACAAGAAATACATATAATAATTATAGCCCTTCAGATAAATCAAAACTGTTGGACAGGATTGACTATATCACATTGTTTTCAAGTATGGCATAATCGAAGGTTGATATAATGCTATTGCATTTGCATGAATAGTACAGGAACTGGCATTAGAAGTACTGTCTTCCATAAATTGGGTCAGCTGTCTTATTGCATTGATAGGGAACTAATCAGCTCGAAAGGGCCTCTACTAGATGATTTTGTCTCTTATACAAGTCGGGGAGGAATCACTATTTTTTATTACTAGGCAGATTGGTTTCCATCAGTGTAAGCTGATACTTTGTAGGCTTCTATCATTTTAAACCCTTTTTTTCCTCAGGGAGTCACATTGTTGACTGTGTCGATATTATCTAACCATTGTTGTTCCTGTATCAATTCGTCCAGTACTTTTGAGAAATGTACTGGTCCCAAATGAACTAGACCTTGGATAATGGATGGTTAGTTTGGATTGTGTCGAAGGATGTGAAAAGTTGGTGGAAGCACTTGCTGATGGACTTGTAGTGCTTGGACTGACTTGCTTGTCTGCAGTTTTTCTTTAGCTTCTTTCTCTTCTAGCAATTCTTGTTTGTCATGTGTAGTTCTGTATGTCTGTTAGATTATATGTTCTGTATATCCTCGTAAGTTGTTTCACTTCTGTTAGATTATATGTTGTTGTTTCACTTCTCTCTAGTAACCCATTTTGCTTTTACTATATTGATGTTTTTTCTTGAAACTAGTGAAGAATTTGAAATTTGTATGCTGACTGCATTGATGCAATGGATATAATGCAGATAATCAAGCCTGGCAAGAGTGGCTTATATTTTCAGATTTATTTCACCTTGTTATGAAAAGTGGGTATATCGATTTCCTTGACTTTGTGGAAAAGCTTACATCTCGATTTGCAAAGGGTAATCAGCAGATTCGGAGTAATCATGTTACATGGTTGCTTGTGCAAATTATCTCAACGGAGATTGTCATGAATACTCTTAATGCAGATCCAAAGAAGGTTGGCTTGTTTTCAATTATTTATTATGTTTATGTTCTGTTATTCTTGTACGGACCCTTAGTTAGTATTCACCTCAGTCTTCTTCCTGGCCTGGCCATATAACGGTAGCAATTTTCAAGTACATGACTTGAAAATTTATTTAATTCGTTCATATTTTTGTGATGAAAAATCCTTGCTTCGTTTATCCAGATGAATGGTGCCTTCGGTTATTGATCTATTCAACATAAAGTCACTACATGTCTGAAGCTGCACATTTTCTATTTATCGAAATGTCTGCCTCTTTTGTTGTTCACTGAATTTAATTTCCTGCATGGCAGGTGGACACCATGCGAAAGATTGTCTCTTTCCATAAGGAAGACCGGAGTTCTGATCAGAATAATGTTACTCCTCAAGGTATCCTACTTGATTTCATCAGCAGCAGCCTAACTTCGCGTGTTTGGTCATTGACCGCTTCTATCAGAGAATATTTGAACCCTGAGCAGCTGCAGAAAGGGAAGCAAATAGATGAATGGTGGAAACAAGTTAAAGGTGTGCCTTAGAACTGTAGGTCATAGATGTTTGTGTCTTGAAAATTGATTAGTGAGATCATGATCTACTACAGATGCTGAAACTGTACTTTGTGATACGATTCTTTCCTTTTTCTTTTTCTTTCTTTCCTTTTTCTTTTTTCTTTCTTTTTGAGGAATATTTGACTTTTCCTTTTTTCTTTTCTTAAATTTGAAAGCTGAACCTTTTATCTTCTTTGCCTCTTATGAAGTTGATTAAGAGTTAAGGATTTTATTAGACTCGTGAACAAGTAAATTTGGAAGTTGTAAATTTGGAAATTTTGTGATCCTTCAACTGAGATTCTGACAAATGTTCTGTTATCCTTTTTTTTTGTTTTAAGAATGTTCTCAAAGTAGTTCTTGCTGCATTCAGATATGTTACTGTATGCCTTTGAGATTGTAATTATAGAGTATTTGGAGAAGCTCTCAAGTTTTTCCTTAGAGCATATGGTTAATGTGTGCAATGCCTGGCATTCTATGATAAATGTGATGGTGTTAGCAGATGAAGATTAGGCATGACTCATGGTCTCAACGTCAAATTTTGACCTCATCCATTGGAAAGAGCATTTAGGGGAAGGATTGTTTGGCATTGATTGGATTCCACATATCCAAATTTTATTTACTTGGGAGTATTTATGTTGTTAGCACTTAGTGGATTTTGTATCAATCAAATATTCTTTTTGGATCTTTTTAGCAATTTGTTTTGGTACAAATATCAACCTAGAGTTGTAAATGAATTTGATCTTTTATTTGGTTAGTTGATTGGTAGATTATGTTAGTTTTTACCTATGTTGCATGGACATGGGGACTTGTGCAAGTGTCCGACATGGGTATGGGGTGTCAAATTCCTCATGCCAGGTACAAAAGTTCAGCTACATGGATATACTTTAAAGAGGCAACGAGATCCAACATTGTTTACTAATTTTCCAAGCAGCCAAAAAGAACAATGATGCTTAGTTGGCTCAATCATACATAGTTTCAATTTTGATGTTTCTACCCAATTAAGAAAAGAAGATCGAAATGTATATCAATGATGTAGCCAGTTGTTAGTGAACATAAGGAAGAATCTGTGTTGGTATCTGTGTCATTTCTGACACTGGTGGACCCTAACAAAAGAATCAATGTAACAGTGTTTTAAACTTCTGGTTTCCTCTGTGGTAGGAATTCCAAAGAACTTTGAAGGTTTCCCTATATATAATCATGAGATATGTATGAACTGGCCAAGATGACCTGATGAGAAAGGAGCTCAGGAAATTAATTCCGGCCTTCTTTTGATCCTAAAATAAGCAAGAACTCAATAATAATGGAGGAAACAAGTGGCTGTAAATTAAGCGAAGGATGAGAAGAAGGTAAATTAAGCGAAAGATGAGAAGAAGCACTCTCTTCGTTCATTAAAAAACCTCTATAAAAAAATATCTGAGTCTCCTTCTCCTGAATAGGGCATCCCACTCCTTTTAGTACAAACAATGAAAAATAAATAAAATAAAACAAAATACAATAAAATTCAAGAGACATATCTCTTTCTATCGACGTTACAAAATTTTAGGGAAATATTCTCCCTAGGGGGCTGTCACTTGGTTTGATGGTAAAAGGCTCGGATAGCCAACGCAAGAGTGCGGGTTCAAGTCCTGAGAGCGGCCACTATGTGCATAAGCCAAAGGTTAAGACTGTTTCCAGCCCACCCCTCCTAGGATTCTGCTTAGGCGGGACCAGCACCGCATTACGTGATCTCTCCATGAATCCTCTCTGTTTCTCCATTAGTCCCCTCTGTTTCTCCATTAATCCTCTCTATTAATCCTCTCCATTAATCCTCTCTGTTAATCCTCTCCATTAATCCTCTTTGTTTCTTCGTTAATCCTCTCTGTTTCTCTCTCTAGAATTCATGTGATCTCTCCATGAATCTCTCCTTAAGACCTATTGCTCCCATAAATGTAGGAGTTACTCTTTACCTCTCTCAAACTTCTCTGTTTTCTCTTCCTTTATCCACAAATGTAGGCAAATATACCCTCAATCTCTTCCATACGTGACATTCTACCAAATCCATCAAAATAGGAATCCCCATCAATCCCCTCAAGAAACCCATCTTTCTAAAAGTTATTTTTATGGAGCTCTAGATATCCATTAAGTAAATCCTAACAACCCAAGAAAAGTGCTATGCCAATCCTTAAGGATTAGTAGTGCTTATCTTTGCCCACAATAATAAGCAAAATTCTATTCTAACCCCCATGGCTTAATTCCTACAAATTAATCCCAATAAAAATTAAGATAGTCTACTCACACCCCTGAAAATTAATTTCTAAAAATAAAAAAATAAAAAAATTAATCAATTTAATTTTTGAAGGTCTCGGATGCGATTTGCATCATGGCCCTCGCTGGGCCAAATGTGGTTGTGTTAATTTGTAGCTTATTCATTGGACCAAACGGGAAATTCAATGGTAATGGGTGTGTCTTCGTCGCACTTTATATAACAAAGTTATTATTTGTGGGCCATGGGCTTGGGAATTAAATCTACATGTAGTTTATAACCCTCCCCGGTTTCTATCTTCTAAGTCCCCTGGGGGAGAGAGAAAGGGGGAGGGGGGGGTTAATTCCTAAAAATTAATCCCAATAAAAATTAAGATAGTCTTCCCACACCCCTGAAAATTAATTTGTAAAAGTAAAAAAATTAATCAATTTAATTTTTGAAGCTCTCGGATGCGATTTGCATCATGGCCCTCGCTGGGCCAAGTGTGATTGTGTTAATTTGTAGCTTATTCATTGGACCAAACAGGAAATTCAATGGTAAGGGGCTTGTCTTCGCCTCACTTTATATAACAAAGTTATTATTTGTGGGCCATGGGCTTGGGAATTAAATCTACATGTAGTTTATAACCCTCCCCGGTTTCTATCTTCTAAGCCCCTTGGGAGAGAGAGGAAGGGGGGAGGGGAGGGGGAGGGGGAGGGGGAGGGGCGGGGGTGGGCCCCTTATTCTTTTATAGACTGGAGCCGTGCTGGGTTCTGGTTTCTATTGTGAAACAGATTTAGTTAAGGTATGTTGATTTCTTGAATAACCCCGTAGTTTCTGTAGTATTCATGTCATGCTTATTGAATTAACATTCATGGACATGGGTCAAAAACATAATATTAATGTTTTTGTTCTTATGATGTAGGGTTTATTTACCAAGAAAACTGAAACTGCAGTATGGTTTCCTACCCTACATTCATTTATCTGCTGAAAATTTGAAAATTCGCTTTCATCAAGTCCTTAGGGCTGAATTATACCATCAATGCTCTTGTAAATAGTTCTGTAACCAGGACATCTGTCTGTGTGGAGTGCGGATATGACCTAATCATCATTATTGCCTTAACATCAATGACTTGCCGACCTTCCCCCCCCCCCCCCCCCGCCCCCCTTTTTTTCTTGCATATTTTAGCTTTTTGAAAGGAATTTTTGTTACTCAAAAAGAAAAAGAAAAAAGAAGAATCTACAATTATGTCTCTCATATTGTGCTTTATGCTCAATAATTAGTTCTGCAGTATGGATTGTGTTCGTATCTGTAAGCAATTGTATGATGATATGAATATGTTGCCTTACTATTTCTATAAGAGCACCATGCTGAAATTCTTCTATGGTTGTATTTTGGTGATCATAGATATATCACATATTGAGATTTAAAAGGAACATGCATATAGTTATTGGGCTATATTAATTACATCAATGCCATTCTTGCATATATTCTCAAATATTAACCATGGGCAAAGTTGTGGATGGTTGATAGACGTTTGTGCACTTTGCTATGTATGTGATTAAATGAATAGCCTATATCAGTAAAAAATTGCCATGCTCAGCTACCTTTTGCAACGCATACGACACTGGCACTTTTCTCAATATTACTTGTAATTTGGTGAATGTCACTAATCGGATTCTTAGAAGCACCTGCCTATGTCCGATTTTCACTGAGATAAATATACTTGTTGAGTATTCATAAACCACTTTGTTTAGAAATTATACTAGGATTGAGGATATGCATTGCAATGTTCTAAAAATCAGCTTGCATCGGTGCCTTGAGGAGGGCCTGTGCTCCTGTTCCCCTACCTTGCTAAGGGGGGATGCCTGTGGTGGGACTTCTTTGGGCCCTCGTCTGGTCGCCTAGGTGCTGCCTGGGTGGGCACCCCCAAGATCCAGTGCTTAATGCTGGAAATAGGACCTTGGGCAGTGTATTTCATGTCATTTGACACCATGTACCCCTCTCCTTCTTTCCTCCACAGGGGTAGTTGGAGGTATTCCAACCTCCTAATAGTTGTTTGAGATTGTTCAGATCGATAAAACCCTGTAGAAACAGAAATTTGACTTTTTCTTCAAGATTGAAAATTTTTGGGTCTTTCGTAATCTTGCAAACTCAAAAGGATAGAAATCGATTGTATGTTGACTCAAAGAGGTGTTAGAGGTGTTTTCACAAACAAAGCTCGCTGATTCGAGCCAACTTTGGTTAGGTTGCCATATGTTAGTTCAAATCGATTTGCATTGTCTTTGTTGATATTTCCAAGATCTTTCTCCAATATTAGATTATTTTTTTGGGTTGTTAGAAGTTTGGGTTTGGGTTTGGTTTTTCTTTTCTTCAAGTATGGTAAAGTATAGCTTATGGACTGCAATTTAATTTCTAAATTACTCCTTCCAAAAATGCAGTCTTAGTTATCGCTGGAAATTTCCCTAAACCTTAAGAACATCTTAAATAGTGCTGAACAATACTATGTGATTATTTTTAACTAGAGATTTTTCACTTTATAATGCTTGTGTTTTCAATACTCAAATTCTTTATTTACATATGGCAAGGTACTTCAAGAGTGACTGAAGGTCAACATTGCAATGCCTAATGGTTCAGTGAAGATATTTTGACGTGCAATTATGAATAGATTAATAAATTAATTTAATCATAGTAATGCTTGACCTATGAAGATCCTCATAGGTAGCTAATCCGTACGTATAATGGATGTAACTTGATGCTTGGTAATATGTAGCACAAACTACATTGAACAAGGTCGATCATTTTATTGCGTCAGTTACATTGTTAGCACGTTGGCAAATCTTAGTTTGGGCTTGTCGTTGTTGACAATTTTCAAGAATATTTTTTGTCATTTTTTAAAGGTTTTTGTTTTTTTTTTTTGTTTTTTTTGGTTTTTTTTTGTTTTGTTTTTTTTTGTTTTGTTTTTTTGTTTTTGTTTTTTTTTTTTTTAAAGTTTGGTTTTCGGTTTTGGAGTTTTCCAAGATTGGGCTTCAGTGTGGGTTTCTGTTAGTTGACATTTTCTTAGGATCGATTTTTGGATTTCTAGATTTTTCTTAGACAGATTTTTCAAGTATGGTTTTTGATTCTTGATAGCCTTTTTTTAAGATTAAATGTTGGTATTTTGTTTTTTGCATCTCAAGTTTGGGTTGGATTTGTTTGCAATTTTCATGGTGGGGCTTTGGAACAGTGATTTTTGGTTTTGTGTATTTTGTACCATTTTGGTTTGGGTTTGTTGTCCTTTTTGTTGTAGAAAGAATTCGCAAGAACAAAAATTAAATAATCTATTGATTAGAAAATTAAAGGGGAAGCTTACAAGCCAGGCTTCAATGGCTCTACACTGGTTACCAGAGAAAAAGATCTCAAAACTTAATTTTGTACATTATTTAACTATTCAATAAGCTTTTCAGGTTCAGGCTTACTGTCAAAATAAAAAATGTCCACCTTTAAATAAAAATTCCCCTAGTGATGCTCCCCACATCAAGGTCTTCTATCATTTTCCTCTTCACCGACTCCCCATGAGGAGTGCGGTAGTGAAAGGGGTTGTACTCGACGTCTTCAGTGGAAAGATCACCGTCTTGCCTATAGGTGATGCCTACGAGTTGTTGTTCAAGTTACTGCCATAGTTCAGAAAATCACATCACTTTTATTTCGATGGAAAAAAATTGATTTCTATATTTTTTTTTCTTTAATTACTAAATGCCTCTATGGAAAGTACTGGACCATGGAAAGTACTGAACCATCGAAACTGTTTCGTGGTTGACTTTGTGTTTTTGTATTTTCTATTTTATTTATGTTTTGTTTTTATATTTTCTGGTTTTCTCCTCATAATTTCTCTATATTTTCAAAATTTATTTAATTTTATAACTATTTATTTTTTGTTTATTAACCGGTCTGACAGGTGCCCGCATGGGTTTGGCCACCGGTGTGGTCTTAATAACATTGAATACATAATTTACATTTACACAACACATCAATATAAGGTGCGCATAATGAAGGACATAGATCATTCCAAAGAAGTTTTATCTCTTTTTTTTGTATTGTATTTTTTTAGTTATAATTTGGGGGCTTTGTATAAGGCCTAACCCCTCTATACCTCCCACCCCCCAACATTCTCTTTGGGGCACCTCATAGATGAGGTGTTTGTTTAGTTTTCATGAGGGCTAAAAGTTTGCTGAACCATGTGGCGTGAGGCCTAAGTCGAATGTGGACTAATGCGAGGCCAATCTTCCACAAAGCCACACATAAGGAATGGAGCAAACAAGTACACAATGGCCCACTCAAGTTATGGATGCAGGGCAGTAGCCTGCTCCTAGTGCTCTATCTACTTGGTCGTATGTATCCACAGATGCTCCTCAGAGGTTTGGGCAAGTGGTTTATAACACCCCTAGTATGTATTTACACACTATCTCATTCACAACTCTCACTACTCACTGACTACCTACTGTGGCAGTTACACTAGGCCACGCCTCACCTTCAATTAATGCCTGCATGGCTCATTAAGGGGTTTAAGCATCTTGTCAACCCACTCCATGGGTCGTTGCTGTCCATGCATGCCAATTCAAACATGCATGGTCGTCATGCAATAATTGATGTGCTCTCAGCCCATTACATGTGCGCTTATCCACTCTCACATGACCTTTGGCCATTGGAGAAGCCCATGCACGACATGGTTACACATGTCAAGTACGTATTCCCACTAGACCATTATGTTCACACAACTGCTCAGCCAGGTGTATGGTCAGCTGCCTCTTGCTCATGTTACATGCCCATGTCTCTTTAGCTTGGGCTGTACATTGTCCGACCATTGACGCATCTCATTGGTCTTGGTGCTTCACCAATTCTATCATCTCAGCCATCCGTTCACAACACTTGCCCAAGGTCTCTCACCAGGAGTATTTAGCCACTAGCCCAGATGTGCATGCGGAGCCGTGTATCATGCCATGCCAGCCATGCCTCTAGCTTTGTCAAGGTTGAAGGTATGTCCCTCATGTAGGTTTGTTGGTCTAAAGAACATCCGCTCTAGGAGAGAACTAAATTTGAGAACGTAGAACAAGTACGGTCCCTCATATAGGTTTGTTGGTCTAAAGAACATCTCTAAGGGGTTTTGCATGGACCCACTCATCCACACATGCGATGCTAAGGTAAGGGTTTGTCATCCATGGGACCGACTAAGTGGCCAGGAATCTTGAGTGCCCAGACTGTGCCTTACGACTTTTTAAATACATTGAGGCTTCAATGCTAGGGTTGCTAATTGTCTTTGAAGCCTTGCCATTACTACTAGTGATACAGGTTTTTATCCTTATTGGACACTTGAACCAGGAGATCAGCTCACGAGTTAGCAAATGTGCTTCATTCATTCTGTTAGTTTGGCACAGACCCATGTGACAGTGTCTAATTTGGGGTTTGTCTGATGTGGCTCTTTGAGAATAGCTAGGTGTTTCAATATGGTACTAACATGTCAATGTTTCTGTAAGAACAATCAAATGTGTTTTCAGAGTGTTTGTTGTGAGTTGGGTGTGTCAACAAGCTTGTCCAGGTCATTGTGGTGTTGACAGGCGTAGAAAGTCCTTGATCCACATGTCTAGGTTACATATTTAAGTCAATAAGCTAGGGAGGTTACATAGTGGTTTGAGCCACACATTAAGTTTTCACATAATCTTCTTTGCTACACATGTGATTCTATTTTTAACTGGCTTGAAACTCTTCACAAGGGAGAACCTCAATGTGGAGCTGTTAAGCACTTGACACATCCTTAATACATGAAATCTTCATTTTATGACACTATAATGAGGGGGCATGTTTCTCAGGTTCACATTTGTATGAAAAATTTTAGTGCTCATTTACATGTGGTATGCAAGAGAAGAAAAGGAAGTTTCGGTTAAGATTGATTGTAAATTTTTTTTTCTTTGAGTCTTTGACATACTAGTGTGTCCACCTTATCCGTAAGAGTGTTGCTTTTGTTTTTCCCTGATTGCCATCTCAAATTGTATTTTTAAAGATTCAGTAATGTACCTGGCTATTTGATGGAATATATCATAGCAAAAACTTATTCCTGCGAGAGGCTCTCATGATTACTAGGGTATAACTTGTTATTTTAGAATGGATTATCCTCAACTCAGATCATCATTAGAGTCAACTCAAGCTGCCATCAAATATCATTTTATTTACTTGATGCATGACTTTATAATTCCCTTGTACATCCAAATGGTTGTTTTCCATTTGCTTGTGGTTTAGAACGATGCAAGTGAACTATTAACTTCCTTTGCCTAATTTATACATCTAAGTTATGGTTTTAACTACTAGAAGGCTTCTATGTTGAGTGAAGACATTGATACATCTTGGTATAGTTTTCCTTTACCATTGGCATGGTACAATGACTCACTTCTTTTATGCATCCTTTATTTATTCTCAGGTGAACGTATGCTGGATTTTCTGAATTTGGACGAAAGATCATTGGGAATGTTTTGGGTTCTTTCGCATACTGTGGGACGAACTGCCTGGGAAGCGATCATGGCTTATTTGAACTCTGTGGGAGTCAGTGAGCTTTTGCAACAGGGATCCATGGGGCAGTCTGGTGAAAGAATGATGGTCATGCGAGAAGCATGTCCATTGCCGATGTCATTATTTTCTGGCTTGTCCATTAACTCAAGTTTGAAATTGGCAACTCAAATTGAAGAAACCTTACTCTTTGGCCAGGTATACGTAAATGATCTTCTTTGAAAATGTGCATAGTTTTGTGAGATGAGTGACTTTAGTTTGATTTCCTACTTTGTTACCATGGAAAATTCTGCATGGTGTTCGAAGTGAGCCCTGACAAATAGATGGTGTAGGAACTAAGCGAATGTGAAGATTAGGGTTTCATTATTTTTTCCTTTGGAGATCGTATTTGCTTATGTTTACGTTTTTTATTTGCTAATGCTATCAATCTCACAACTTTTATGTTCATAGTTTCTTTTAAAGCCACGGAACCCATATATCTTTTGGTTTATGCCCTAATTTGATACTTGTTTTACATTTAACGTGATTGTGCCAGAAAATAATTTGTGGTAGGACTCATATTTATAGAGGCGAATGGATCTTACTGATTTTCTTGAGAACATCACATGAGGTCACACATATTGTCGAAGTGCTCTGTGAGATGTACAACGGCTATTTCATGATTGAAACCTTGTTGAGAAAGTTCTTGATGAATTAGGTTAAATAAGGGTTTAAAATTGATTAGAAGTCTAATTTGAATAGAAATAGGGAGAGAAAGTAAACTTAGGTGGGCTGGCCATGTGCAACATAGACCTAGTACAACACCTGTTAGGAGGTGCGAATTGGTTTAAGTGTAAGGCTCAAAAAAGGTTAGGGATAGACTCAAAAGGACATGGTTGGAAGTAGTGAGAAAAGATATAATGACGTATGACTTCATTGAGGGTATGGCCCCTTGACAGAGTAGAATGGTAGACCAGGATTCGTGTAGCTGACCCTAATTAGTTGGGAAAAGGCTATGATGATGATGATCGTCGGACCCATTAGATTAGAGTATTTGAGTTACCGCTAATATTGGGTTTTCTAGTAGCGAATAATTTCTTTATTTCTTATGATATATGGATTATGAAAACTTAGAACTTTGGAGGGATGCTCTAGAATCTGAGGGTTTTACAATTAGCCGGACAAAGACAAAGTATATGGAGTGCAAGTTTTGTAGTAATAGGAGTAGAGACGAGGATGTCGTTAAGATTGACAACAAAGAAATACTAAATAGAGTGCACCTCTGATATCTTGGATCGATTATCCAGGAAAATGGAGAGTTTGAGGAAGATATCGTACATAGAATTAGAGCTGGGTGGGCGAAGCGGAGATGTGCAATTGGAGTTTCATGTGAATGCCGCATACCAATGAAGCTGAAAGGGAAGTTTTGTAGGATAGTTGTGAGACCAGCTTTGCTTTATAGGGCAGAATGTTGAGCGGTCAAGAAACAATACCCATAGGACGTCTAGTTGAGATGAGGATGTTGAGATGGATCGGTGGCAAGACATGACAGGATAGAATCCGGAATGAATACATTTATAAGAACTTAGGTGTGGCTCCAATAGGCAATAAGATGAGAGAAAGTAGACTTAGGTAGGCTGGGCATGTGCAACGCATACCTAGTACAACACATGTTAGGAGATGCGAGTTAGTACAAGTAGAGCTCAAAAAGTCAAGGGGTAGACCCAGAAGGACATGGTTGCAACTAGTGAGAAGCGATGGGACTTCTAGCGTCGCAAAGGGTATGTGATATAGCAAAATGGCAGACAAGGATTCATGTAGTGACCACAAATAGTTGGGAAAAGGCTCTGATGATGATGATGAAATGGGATTATAAAAAAATCATCTTTCTTAAGTTGATTAGGGTGTCATTAGATAGGCTTTCTTTTGTTATTTATAACTCATGGGAAAGTCTTTAAATGACTTTGAAGCCCCAAGTTGAGTAGGATTAGAGGTTTTAAAGTTCTCTAAATACATGCGCTTGGAGTATGACCCACTCAAGGTATTGGAGAACATATATGTTTTTTTTGAATTGGTGGTGAGAGACCATCTAGAAAGGAGTGGTATCTCCATTTAGAGGAGAGATTCCTCTTTCCTACGGTGGTAGTTTGTTGCTACAAAACCTTTTCCTTTTGGTTGGAGGGATTCTTCGCCCTTTTACCCTCATCCTTGCAGGCCCCCCATCATAACATTTGTCAACCCTCACTCAATCCTCACCTTCTTTTGATTAAGTTCAGGTACGATACATTCCTTCTTTCATCTTTTTAATCCAATCCATTACCTATCTTCATCCCCTTCATCTTCTTCTAACCTTCCCCACTTCCCCTCATATTCTTACTCATGAATCGAACTTTATCTTTTTACACCATAAGCCTAGTTTTTCTTAACCCTGACTGATCGACCTAGCCCAACAACTCATATACCACTAGCAGCGAAGTTTCTTGATCCTGTATCAACATTTATGTTGTTTTTTCTAGACAAATGATACATGCGGAAGTTATATGTGCTCGTATTCATGACTATTGGGCGCATTGACACTCTGGGGAAGTCTCACAAGGGTATGGCACGTTCTTCGTGTTGGACATGCAGATTTTGGTCTGGCAGTAAATGAGATTGACAGAATTTTTGGATGCCCCTCTCCTATTTCTAGAGATGCACGTCTATAACTTGGATTTTCACTTCTACATGTTTGACACTTGTGCCCCAAATTTTCGACACATTGTTCAAAATGTTGGACATTGTTTCCTAATTTGTATTTGTTAGATATATTAACAATCTTGCAAAATATGCCATGACGCACGCAACATACAACAAATTTGCTGCATGTCACCTCAATTGGCTGCTGTTACAACTAATGGTTTTTGTGAGCTTTTGCTACACATAAGATACCTGGAGACTTTTTGTTCGCAAGACTGAGCAATATTGGATACTAATATCTGACAATAGGCATATGGACAATATGATATTATAAATATAATTAAAATTGTCATGTTGATTAGACATTATTAGATGATTTCTGTATGTATTGTGTGTTAATCATATAAAATTTCCCACATGTGTCATTGATTCAAACATAATATTTGTGTCCTTATCATTGTCCTAGATATTGTGGGAAATGCTGAGGTGTACCCTCATGAAGGGGTGGTCTTGTATCTGTGTTATGTTTGAATCTTAGTCCTCTACTTAAGTAAATGGCACGTATGTGTCCATGCGTCACCATGGTGACTACAGATCGTCACAATGACTGCATGATGGTGACCATGTGTCAAGAGAGTTTGACACTAGTCCAATTACATGTACAGAAGTCAATGAGCTTCCTTATGGCACATCTTTAATAAAATATTCTTAAATATTAAAGAATTTCCAATATGCTGTTGTGTACTTCCAATATTCCCATTGGGGTAAAAAGCCCATTTATGCATTAGGAAGCTGTACATTCTTGTATTTTTACTTGTTAAACGTGTTGTGCATCTTTGAAGGATATTCAACTAGATCACCTATTAAAGTTTTAGTAACTTCACACCGTAAGGGCGCTTTTATATGTCAGATCATCATCATCTTCATCATCATCATGGCCTTTTCCCAACTATTTGGGGTCAGCTAACTGAATCTTGGTCTGCCATTCTGCTCTATCAAGGGCAATACCCTCAGTGAGGCCATAAATCCCCTTATCTTTTCTCACTACTTCCAACTACTTTTATTCTTTAGATATTTAGTGATATTAATAAGCCGATAAATTTTTTAAAATCCTTGTTTTTGGAAGGTATGCATGTATTGGGATTGAGGTAAATTGTGGCCTCCAGGCCAGGGTAGACATAGGTCTTTGAACCCATTATTTGCCAACTTATGATATAGGATTTTATCTTCAATATTTGATGCATTTGAATTGAGAAACAAGTCCACATGTTAATAAACAAGTTCAATTCAGAAGCTAGAGAGGGTGTTTCTCCATTTGACCAGTTTTAGGTTTTCTGTTTCAAGCTCCATCTCCAATTGGAGAAGGGGTGATTTAGTTTTTCATATTTGACTAGATAAATAGCCACAATGCACGAGCCGAGTGATCCAGGCCAACCCATTCCTTGAATTCTTGGAAGACCTAAAGTTGTCTTTTTCCTGGATGATTTGGTGGCTGCCAAGCATTTAAGTGTTGCCCACATCCATCCATCCTCACATAGGTGGCACAAACTCCTAGTGATTTTGAGCAGTGCCATATGCAAGGTAGAACCTCATCATGGAGCCATAACTTCAAGTCATCATTAACAATTGGAGGCTTTATTTTACATCATTATATGAAGAGAACAGGTCAAGCCAGCTCTTGTCTTGGGATAGTTATGAATGTTTTGTAACTGATTATGACATTATGAGTGAGTCAGCTGTGTGTGACGTGATGTATTTGTGTTAATCTTAAATTTCTAGAGCTTTTTTAGATATCAATCAATTATATCGAATCATGCTTCTTTGTCTAAAATAAGTATATTCTATACAGAATTATGCTGTTAGTTGTTGGTAGGCTCCATTATATGTCTCTCGGTATATTGTGTTAGTTTTTGCTTGGATGAGCTCAATTTCACACCAGTTTAACACCAAACATTTTGGACCTCTTTTAGAGTACCAATCCTTCCAAAAAGATCGTCCTTGTTAAACTTCTCTATCAATTTTACAGACAAATATATGATGTGATTTTGTTATCAATGTTAGATGTAGATACTGTTCTCTCAGTAACACAATACTTAAAAATTATACAAGAGACTTCTCTGCACCTTGGTTACATACACTTTCTCATAAAAGCACAGCCATATCTCACTGGGACAATCACTCTACCCACTGATTTACAGCAACTAATGAGGATTAAAAATACCTTAAAACATCCCCAACATGATTTCCATTCATTTGGACACAATGTGATTGCTTACATATAACACAACTTGCATATATGCAAATTCTGCGGCATAAAATTCTTGTACAGCTTGCATCAAACCCTTACTGATACAATTATGAATCAATGATCAATGCAATCTCATTACTTGCAAAGACATTTACAAATGTATGCATTAGCGGCATAAACCATTGGAAGCCAAAATTATGATCAAAATTTCCTGGAATTACCTTCATGGGACTTAATATACTCCATACCGGATTTACTCTCTTGATAGCATTAGTGATCTAGGCCCTATGACCCCTTTTAGAAGGGAGGAGAGAGAAACGAATTTTAATAATGAGAGAGATTTGGTGCATGGAGGAGAGAGAAATATTTCCTTTTTGAGAGAAGGGCTTAATGATATTTAAATAGAAAGAATTCCTTCTCCTATTTAAATTAGAATTCCTTCTTTAGGTATTACCTATCCAATGACACAATTTGACCAATAGTTACTTAGGAAATCTGTGGGGTGGGAGAGAACAAATTTGAGCCATACCACAAATCAACCATCATGATTTTGGGAGGATTATTAGGAACCTTATCCCTTTATAATTTGACCCAAGGCCAACTTTTATTTAAATTAGAATCATAATCATTCAAAAACTTTCTAATATCTTTCCAAAATCTGTAGAAAGTCAAAATAATTAGAGTTTTGATCAAACCAAACTCCAAATTAAAACAATCTTTTAAAATTAACTTTTAAGCACTAAGATAGAGAGATTATCTTGTTGTAGTTGAGGGTTTAGAGGCATGTTACAGCAAGTTGAAGAAGCTCCATGGGTGGCGTGATGCTCCTAGGTAGTAGCTTTGGACCATGGAAGCACACGGGAGAGATGGGTAGTGGAACATGGACATGGTGTGGTTCACGCATGACGTGCCACTTTCTCTCACTAGAAACATGACAATAGTGTTGAATGGAATGAGTTGAAGTGAGAGGACTGATCTTTAATTATAGGCGTTGGGAGAGATAATGTTGAAGTTTCTTTTGAGGATCTATATGAGGCTTGATCTAAGTCAACCATTCCCTTGCTAGCTATTATATATCAAGGTTGGAATTTTACACTATTATCTTTTTGCCGAAAATCAAACCCAATTTTCCTTCCAATTGGACTCGATTTTCTGACCAATATACATAGACATTATAATGGTTAAATAACCTTGATCAAATTCAAGATTTTACAAATTGTCACGGGTGCTTATTTGAAAATTAGGTGATGCGAGAGATTTAAATTTGGGAGGGGCGTGCCTCTTAATTTGTAAATTTCTCTTAAGTTTGAAATTGAATTTAGGACACACACTACCTCTCTCTTAGCGCTTGGTTTTTCAAAGAATCAAGGACAGTGTGACAAGTGTCCGTAAAGTGTTCGTAATCTGGAAGACCAACCATATGTTTGCTATCATTTAAGATGCTTTATTCTTTATCTTTTTGTTATTTTCACTTGATAGCACTTGCTTCATTTATCTTTGGTGAAACTTTTGGTGGATTTTCTGCTAATTGGTGAAAATTGCAATTAGGCACTCAACCATATTCCTTTACTTGCATGCTTTCATCATTGGTCAATTTTTTAAGTTCCTACCGATTTTTTTCTTTATGTAAAATCTTTTTCAAATCCAAAATCTACCACTTTTTTTGCATGTTTTTATGCTGTCTGCACTGTTGTTTTCTACAACTTATTCTATATTGTTGAGCAGTATACTGTTTTTTTACTTGTTCTTGTCAATTCGTGTGGCAGGTGATACCAAGCATTGCAGTGGTGGAGACATATGCTAGATTGCTGCTGACTCTTCCTCACTCGTTATTTCGACTTCACTTCAATGTAATGTGCAGTATGCTTTTCGGTGTCTACTACCCTTTTTATAGTTCTATAATTTGTTTCAAATACTTACTTTTGAAATTAATAGAAAGTCCTAACTCATGCATCATTTCTTGATCTTTTTGTCCTTGCGATACTTTTTTTCCTCTCGTGGATTTCAATACATTATATCCAAGTGATCAGTATTATCACACGTGGCTTGAATGTTAGATATATTCTTAATCAAGAAGTACTTTGTCTCTTTTTCATTGAATGAAACCTTCTTTTGGATAAAACAGCTGAACTATTGAATGTGTTTTTTTTTTCTCTCATATTTACCTTGTAACCAAGCCGCTCACGCCGGTCCTAAGCCCGGATAAAGGAGGGTGGTTGTGGTAGGTAGGGCAGCCAATTTAAAACATTGCCACATCTTTTCATGAATCCTGAACTTATGATACAAACTTTATGTAGCCGATCCCAAATAGTTGGGATAAGGCTTAGATGATGATGATGATTTTCCTTGTGTCCAAGTTTTCTTTCGGTTGGGCATAAAAGAGCCACCGTTTAGTGTGGTGTCCAATATAAAGGAAAAAGGTGTTGGGATTTCTTTTCATGTCCAGCGTAAAATAGGGATGAAAGTGGCATTTGGAATGACTGCTAGATAGCATAAGTTTTAAATGTCTACTCAATAGTATAAGGTCGTGGTAAACCATACCTGATTGACTGCCGTAAGATTTTTAGGGCTATTGCATTATAGTTTATAAAATAGCCCTTCCCTAAATGCAGCCGTAGTTATATCAAGAAACAATGTTTCAAAAAGCGCTAGGTGGCACCTAGGCGGTCGGGGAGGTCCAGGCCGCCCAGCTCCTAGACGGGCACCTAGAACCTGGACTGTCTAGTAAAATTTATTTATTTATTTTTATTTTTTATTTTTTATTTTTTGAGTTTTCTCCGTCTAAAATAGCTTGTAATGAGTTTTAGGTTTCAAATGAACCTAAAACCCACAATTTTGCCCCTTTAGGAGTAAAAAAATGACCAAAAATACCCTCAAGGATCAACATTTTCGCCCCCTTGGGTGGGGTGCAGGCTCTGGGCGGCCGCCCGAGCGGCTGCTTAGGCAAGCGCCTAGGCAGGTGCCCAGGGATATCTGCCTAGTTTGGCCGCCTAGACCGCCTAAACACTGGGCGGTCCGCTTTTTAAAACTCTGTCAAGAAATTCTCTATGGAGAATTAAGAAGATTTCAAATTGTTCTATCAAAATTTCATAGTCGAATGTTATTAGGATCGGACCAGTCATTGAACCGGTGACAACTTTGGTCCATTCAAAACCTGTTTGACTGCTGGTTGAACCAGTTGGAGAAGATTTTAAAATTATAAAGCAAAAAAGAAAAAAGAAAAAAAAAAGGAATAGTAGTTTGAAACCTCAACAACGCTTTCTTAGCCTACAAACCATCGTTGGGCTTCTCCCTGACCTCAACAAGTGATGACCCTTTGAAAACCCTCAGTGGTAGTGTCATATTCCCAAATGTAAAGGTTTTAGACATGACCAAGACTATAGACTGCTCGACATTAGGTCAGTCAACCAATACACGCACTCTCACTGAAGTGTAGAATCCACTATGATTCTTATTTAGATGCTCTCACGGCCTTCAAAGGCCACAAACCCCAACAAAATCATGGTTGTGGCAATTAGATGAGCAATTAATTAAAAAAGTGCTTTCTTAGTTCTGTTTTATTTTTTGTTGATGTTTAATTTTCTATGTAACCTTTTCTATTTCTTTTTAGGTTTACTTTTACAATTCCTATTTTTGATGTGCATAATTAGCATGTAATAATCCTTTTATCTAAATATTTTTTCAATTTTCTTTTTTTAACCCCATTTCTTCTCCATAATATATTATTTTTTTAGAACAAGATTTGATTTAGCATAAAAGAAATGTTTTAGGGAGATATAGAGGCCATTGTTATGGCAACTTTACCATTGGATATATATCACAAATCAAAGAGATTTTTAAGCATATAGATTACACAAATGAGAGTTTAGAGAGAGAAAAAAGATTAGGTCAATTATGAGATTTTCTTCCTTGGTTAGAGTATGTAAGTTTAGGACTTTCAAAAAATAGCACTGGCAATTTATATCTTCAGAATCTGTTTCAGAGTCTGAACAGGAGAAAATCAATTCTTCATCATTTATCTCTCCGATGAGCATTTCTTCATCAGAGTCAGAAGATTCTTCAGAATCATCTCTTTTAATTAAGAGGATATCAAATAATTGCATTTTTATTTCAAGGTCTATTTCTAAAGAATTTATTTTCTTTTTCACACGACGTTTATTTTTAGTGTTCTACTTTTCCACAGTTATAGCAAACTGGTATTTTCCTTTTTCCTTTTTGTTTAAAGGAGTGATCTTGTAAGAATTTCTTAGGAAATGTACTTTTCTTTCATTTTGAATATCTAGACTTTATCTTTCTAGAATCTCTAGAGTCTCGAAATTTCTGTTTGTGAGAGGGCTTGGAAGTAGGTATTGTATTAAAGCCGAATTGCTCACAAAAATCTCCCAATTCCTTTTTCCCTATCGTTCTTTGTTTTTCCAATTGTCTTTTCAATTTTAAGTATTTGCATAAAGCAAGACCTTCGGCACATATTTCTGCTGATAATTCTCCAAGAGTGTACAAAGAATAAGGAATAATTCTTCCATGCTTATTTTTCAATCTTATTTTAACCTTTTCTCCAAACAAATGAGGAAGTCCAGCAATGAATTTTTCTTTTCAATGGTCAACTTTACTATCTTCTCTGGATAGCAGTCTGGAATAAAATACATCTTTATACCATTTGAAATGTGAGAGTTGGAATGAAGATATAAATTGTCAATGCAAGTTTTTGAAAGACCTAAACTTAAATACTCTGACCAATGAAGAAAATCTCATAATTGACCTAATTGATAAAATAAGTGACCCTGAGGCTAAAAGAGAAGCCTTAATTCATTATATCAACATGGCCAAAGAACCTTCAAGTTCTCTTGCTCCTAAACCAACCCTAGTTCCTACTAATGAAGATTACAGCTTTAGTGATATTTTGAGAAGAGTTCAAAATAAAACTCAACACCAAAAAGAACCTACAATTCATGATCTAAAAAATGAAATAAATGAGGTCTAGAATGAACTAATCACTCTAAAAACTAGAGTACAAATTCTTGAAATAGCAGCCGCTAAAAATGAAAGTGGGAATGAAGAAGTAAATCCTGAAGAAGAATATAATAATCTAATACATGATTATAATCACAATCTGTTACCACCCGAAATGGAAGATACACTCCCAAGTGTAATAGACGATCCACAAACTTCCAATAACTGTAATATGTTAAGAAAAATACAAGATTATAAATATGTAAACTTCCTTGATAAAGTGATAACCCAAAGATGGTTTACCATCATCAAAATAGTGGTACAAAGATTGATCTGAAATTTGGTGCGTGTGTACATAAAAAATTGGTGAATCTTCGAAAAATATAAAAAAAATATTTTACATGAAAAAATTAACTAAAATACCCCTGTAAAGTTTTGGGGGTATTTTGGTCATTTTTTTTTGCGGATTATTTTTTTCATATTTTTATTAGGTGTGCCTTGATGAGAAGAATATACACCTAAATTTCAAGTCATTTAGATTTATAGAAAAAAATTAAAATTCAAACACGAAAAGAGGTCGTGACTGTCAGATCAGCCCAGATTCAATCTGGGCCATTGGCGTTTACTGTAACAGTCAGCTAGTGGTCGTACATAATCCACACCCATATATATATATATGGAAGAACCCAAAAAACGCCTCAAGGCAAAATGCTACAATTTTTTTCCTCCGCCACAAAATTGCTATGTTCGTGGAACGGAGCTGCAACGGACGGTACAGTCCGTTGTAGTTCCGCGTGAAGTTTTGGACTGCCACGGACTAGGTCCATTGTGGTTCAAAAATGCACACTGTCCGATTTTTTCGGATGGCAATTGGCCTATGGGCGAAATCGCTGTAGCATTTCGCTCATAGGCGTTGCGTAGATGCTTCCATATATATATATATATATATATTTAATATTTGGTTTTTTGATACTTCATCCATATGAAAATCCCACAAACCTCTTAGCCATCCTGTTCCACATATTATGGCTTTGACTATCTCATGATCTTGATTTCTGCTCGTCTTACTGGCAGTGGCGTACATAGTCATGTGTTTCATAAGATCTAAGATTTAACTCTCAGCCATGCCATCTTGTGTCAAAAATTCGCACCGACAGCCATTTCAAAGATGCTTTTCTGCTACAGTGAAAAGCAGATTCTGTCAGTGGTGGCTACAGTGAAAAGTAGATTCTATCGGTGGTGACTACAGTAAATTTTGTCGTTTTCTGGGACACGTCTTGGATAGGGGTGGAGTCGTTTTTGTCCCTTATGTGAATTTTCTTTATTTTGAAGAAAATTCAATACCTGCACGATCATCACCGTTCATTGGACTGTAGTCTTCTTGTTCGTCACTCTGAGTAGAGGTGGACATTTTTTCCACACTATCTTCTAATGCACTCCAGAGCTTCCTTTTAAGCTCTTGTTTGGATAGTTTGGGGTTTTGCTGCTGTAATATTGCAACATATTCTGATATTTCGATTTTGTCCGGATTTAGGGATTCATTTTTTATAACTGTCCCACCATTTGATATGGATTTGTCTTCTTAATTCGAGAATATAATCCCACATGTCTATATCATCTTCTAAGACTTGATAATCCCATTTTAAAATCCACGGGACCTGATATAAGGTCATAAAATAGATATGATAGTCTTTTAAGACTTTGACTATTATAATCAGAGAATTTTCTCTGTGAAATTTGTAGATCTGTTGGGAGAATTTGGCTTGATGATCCCCATATAGAGAACCAATTTTTAAATCAATTTGGGAACTCATTTGGCTCAGTTATTTTAAACTGAATATACCGGCTATGTGAATTTTTTTGTATTCTGGTATGAAAAGACTTCATCCCAAGCCTTTAT